TTCAGGCTTAATTTGTAAAGAGTGACTGGCACCTTTTTTGAGACTGGTGTAACCCATTGTTAGTACATCCATGTGTAACATCACTAGTAGTTGAATAAAAGACCAGTCTGTGTAATGAACTGTTAATGTATGATAGTAATGCCGGGCTACTTCCTGTTACTGGGATTTAATACTTCAGTTTAAAATTCCCACTGTGATATGAAATATAGTAAAACATAAATTGAATGAATGAACACGTAGGAATCAGTTTCACTTACCTATCTATATGGTTCCTATAGTCAGACAGTTTGTAGCAAAAAACAGGGACAAAATCTAAAAAAAAAATTCAAAACAATTTCCCCAGTAAAATTATTCGAATGTCAAAAAATATAACTTAACCATACAATATCATTGCTTGAAAACAGGAGATGTTTACAGTTGATGTTAGCGCAGGGCTGTATGGAAATCATATGAGTATCCCTCCCAAACGCCGATATAGTTCAATGTTCTATCCCACAATCCTTTGTAAAATGTAATATTGAGTAACACATTTCTTGGCTATACACGATTTTTATTTTAAGTAAAATATTGACATTTTGAGCTCTATAGCAACATCGTCATCGGGAACCAAGAACTAATGTGACACGATTCCAGAATAACAACTGAAATAGAGGAACAAACGAGAAATGAATCATAGACTTAGTTTCTGGGGCAAGATTACCAGCCGGAAAAAAGGTGATTGAAACAATTCTGCCGCCCTCAAACGTTGATAAATAAAGATATATAAAAGGAGCAATCATATAAAACGATAAGCTCGATATACCTCTCGTCTTGTTATGTGTTCAATCTCTAAGTGGCTTGTGAGTAACTGTGAAATACTGAATTAAGCTATGACGATAACAGCGAGAAATAACCGAAGAAAAACAACTTTCCTGTAAGCTACAAGCTATACGCCGACGGAGGGCGTGATTTTACATTGCCACCGCCAGGGAAATCGATTTCTAGGAATATATCTCTGCCACCATGCGCTCTTATGCTTGTCAATCAAATGAGACGTTGGAAAGGATAATGCTCCAGGGCTTTCTATGACGGCAAATCTCGCTGTGTGAATTTTGAGTTTTATTCTTAGGAACTGATTGAACAAAATTGAATATTTTATTGCATGAAATAAAATGCTTAATTAATTTAATTATTTTTATTGAAATGTTACCGCTTTATTTATTTCAAAAGAAACACATAGTAAACCAAAGGGAAGACATGTCATTTTATATTTTCCTGGACAATTCTTTATTATTAGAGAACGTAAGTGTTATATAATTATTAATTTTGTCATGAATTAGCTGAAGTAGATAGAGTGGCAAACGCATCGTGTTTTATCAATATTTCAAGGCTGTTTATCTATAGTCAGATGTGATGCAAATTAAAGAGTCGTATTTTTGTGTATATTTCACATTCGGAATTGTGAAACGCGTTGTAAATGATTTTCCTGAGTTTGGCAAAAATGTTCAAAATCGTTGATAAATTTCAAGGCTAAGATATCTACATGTATATCCTTTAAAACGGGGAAGTAGTCACATGCACATGCGTCAGATAGCGTGCCATTGTTTACAAACAAGCGTCTACCCATGAGCCTTTTCGTTTTTAGCTTGTGTTGTTGCTTGGGATCCAATTCTCGCGCGTGCGCATGTGACGACATTCCCGCTTTAAGGTAAAATGTAGCCGAAGTTTAGGAGCTGTAAATATGGATTTTTATAAGGGACGAGGTTCTGAAAGGAGGACTTGTGCTTCATCATCAATAAGATTCTTTCTGTACGGTGTTGATTCCAGATTGTGTCAATGTAATGAAGTTAATGATTACATACTTATATGCAGATATTATGGAGCTCCATCCAGGTACGTATTTTTAGTTCCAGAACTTTTTGAGTAATCACGTTCGTGCGTATTGAATTTACACATACATACATGTACATCTTTTATTATTCTCAGTCTACGTTAGTAGAACACAGTATCATTGTTTGACACAAAATATAGGAGTTGTCATACAGAGGAATACTAGCCGTGTGTTCTCGCTTGGTATAGCAGAGCGCTGCCAACGCCGATATTATTTTATTTTATTTAATCTACCGGTAATTCGTTTTTTTTTTGTATTGTTTTTTTTTTGTAATGCGGGCAGAAATAGTTTGCTATACGGCTTATGGTGGCTGGAGATCACCGTTAATAATAACAACAACAGCGATATTGGTCAATAATGACTTGCGAATTTGGTCTTTGAACACTTAATGCAAATCAACCGGTATCAACCAGTTACTAACTGAAAGTTGTCTATATAGGTATTTGCTGGTATGTGGAAATCTCTACTCACTAAATTCACATAAAGTCACCTCTCTAAACACCAATCATGTGTAAACGTAATTGTTATGAAAACAATATTTTTTATTCATTAGAATTATCAATTCATGAATAAACATCTAAAATAAGTTATAAAAAAGTACAATTAAAAATTGTGTACTTGAATAATGAATACTTTATCACCACGCAAATATTTGGTATAATATTTGTTAACATTTAACGTTTTGCCGCCCTCTTGTGACGAGATGTGAGCAAACAACGCCAACCAATATATCCTCACAAACCCGGGCACAGGCAGGTATAAAGGCATTGTTGAACAAGAATATAAAATATAAAGACTACAACATCCACCACGCGTGCGCAGTAATATTGATATCAGGACATGATATTCAGTTGAGAAACCATATTATAAGTAACATGTACGACGTCTTCTAAAATACTGGGCCATTGAGATCATTATCTCCAAACGTTTCTCTCACCCCAGTATGGTGTTTGTCTCGAATTGTAATTCGCATTAGTTCCCAGACATGGCGAATTCATCATCAGTATCTCATAACGCCAATGACATCGAGTGATTGATCACAATTATTGATCGTGATTTCATCAAAAGGCGTGTCCATAGTAGCCCTGATGTGACACAGAGATACGGGGCAGCATCGACACTGATATAGTAGGTTACACACGTATATACACACGATGACAACGATGAACTACGACTCACATTGCATAGAACGAATAATCGAATTGGCAGTAGTTATTCAAAACAGACACATATCCGCGACTTGTTCACACCCTTGTACCGCACACCTCTTCGTATGTAGGAGGAGGTTCGTCATTATTTGTAATGTTTCTTAACGTCTCTTCGAGATCGCTCTCGGGGTCCAGTTCTCCTACTTCGTCGGAAAAATCCAAGTCGGTTTCTGGCAGCTGATCGAGCGGCGCATGAACGCTCAGCCTGACTGTCTGACCTGAGTCCTGTGACGAATGTCTTCTCATGTACCTATTTGTGTTACCAGTAAACCTAAATGGAGAGAAAATGAATGCGAATTTATCAGGGATAATAGATACATTTCGTACTGGCTATAGGTGAATTGGGACAGGGTTGGAATGGAACATGGTAGTTACTATCACTTTTCGTATGAATGTAATATGTAATATTTACCAGTGTACGTTTATCGCCATAAACCCACGAATGACACATATCTTTGACTATGATACATTTTCAGTTTTAAAAAATAGAGGCCATTTGGCAATTTTGTGGCGAATCGTGAAACAAATGTACCTGCATACGTATATGCAACAAATCATGGTTGGTCAAGGCATGTCAGTGATATGGTTGTGAAACAGCATTTATTGAAATAAAATGGTCACAAGTCAGCCATTTTTAATAATAAAATAATATTAAAGAGAGATAAAACAATGTTCAAAAATGTATGTATCAAGTTGAAACGAAATCTGTCCATATGCGACCGAGTTTCAGTTCGAACAGAAATGTTAGATGTTGAAATGGCTGCCATTCGGCCATACAAGGCATATGATGTGCGGGTTAAATTGTTTAATTATTTTATGTTCAATTTTAATAGCATTAAGGGTATACATTACATAATTCTTTCATTCTCATATCATGACAGATCACAAGTCATCACATTAATTTTAGAGTATTAAATATAATGGCCATATTTTGTGTAATTATTATAAGTTCATATACAATTATAATGATTAATTGATTAACATGTCTTGTAATTTAATGCCCCAAACCACGAGCTTATTTAGAAATGTTAATTATGAGTTACTTTGTACCAAGTCAATTTCTTCATATCCATATTCTTCAACTCATCCACACACATCACTTAATATTGAGACTTTCCGTAAAGGCATAACACAAATTAAACGCGTATTTTAAA